ATAATAATATATTTTGAAGGTATGACAAAAATAGGCATGATTTTAATTCATTCACATGAGACTGCTATTGTTGTGTTGGCTTTTGAAATTTTTTATTTGACAATTTAAGGGAAAAGAGGTCAGTGCTCTGACAAAATAATCAGGTATTGCATGTTTTAAAAATTACTGCAGCACACTGGTTGAAAATCGCTATTCTAACCTCATTTTAAGCTTGGACAACTGCTTATATTCTCCAAAATGCATGTTCATTAAGAAATAATAAATACACTGTGAAAATAAAAGGAATGCAACATGAATGTTATAATGTAGATTATTTGCCCACAATTAATTTAACCAACCAGATTTTTTTTATTTTCAAGCTCGGGATAGTAGTCATCAATTTGAATGTGAAATGAGTGAGAGATATGCTTTCCATCCTAGTTCATACTAACTTCTGCCTGACAGTCTGAAAAATGTCAAGGTCCCTGTTAAAGCAAGGTCCCTTTGGGTCATGGTCATTATTAAAGGTCCATCTGGCCTTCTCTGTATAGAAATGTCAGCTTTGCAAGGTGTTCAGGTGGTATGAGCCACTGCAAAAGTTGAACTATGTATACTCTGTATCTGACCAAAGAGAGTTACTAAATTCTAGGAAGGGAAGTTGAATGCCACATACAAATGATTTTGGGAGATGATCCTTCCCATGGGAGAACTGGGCTCAATTAAAAAAAAAATACAACCATCATCATATTGAATGCCCATTGACTTGATAAAAAGCATGGATTCTGTTGTTGTTTGTTTATTTTTGTGGGATGGGTTGTACCCTTATACCAACCACTTCCTACCTGTCCCACAGCCTCTGGCAACCACTTTTCTACTCTGTTTCTATAAGTTTGACTATTTTTAAAAATAAATTTTAGATTCAACATATAACTGATATCATGCAGTATTTGTCTTTCTTGACTTGTTTCACCTCACATAATGCCCTCAAGTTCTATCCATGTTATTGTAAATGGCAGGATATTTTATTCCACCACTCATAAAAGGGAACATTTAACTTGTCTCAAGAATTTAATCTCGCCCTAGCTGGTTTGGCTCAGTGGATAGAACATCGGCCTGCAGACTGAAGAGTCCCAGGTTTGATTCCTGTCAAGGGCACATGCCCAGGTTGCGGGCTCCATCTCCAGTAGGGGGTGTGCAGGAGGTAGCCGATCAATGATTCTCATCACTGATGTTTCTATCTCTCTCTCCTTCTCCCTTCCTCTCTGAAGTCAATAAAAACACATTTTAAAAAAGAATTTAATCTCTACACAGACTCAACTGCACAGAGCATTTAGCGTGTAAAAATAGGCGTGCACATCATGATTCCGTTTACTTGCCGAAAAGGCCATTCCCTTTCTTCTCTGTGGTGTTTCAGGCAGGCAGCATTCTCCTCTCAAAGGAAGTCCCAGATCTGGGACAAATATCTCTAGTTTAGATAGTTCTTCTAGGGAAAAATTATACTACGTTTGATATTTCCAAAGTGTTAGCAATGGAAATTGCAAGGAAAGGACATGTCTAAATGGGCAATAGGATGGGACTTTGGGTCTACCGTTACATTTTAGTTTTTACTGTAGAATGTTCATTTCTCAATTTTCATCTAGATTTTAAGCTTGTATTGGCTACATAAGTCAGGGATACTTTTTCTTATGGAAGAAAATTGTCTAAAATATTTCTCTTAGCTCATTGTTTGCAAATAAAAATATAATTTTATTTATTTATTTATTTTTAATATCTTATTGATTTTCTACAAAAAAGAAAGGAGAGGGATAGAGAGCCAGAAACATCGATGAGAGAGAAACATCGATCAGCTGCCTCCTGCATGCCCCCCACTGGGGATGTGCCCGCAACCAAGGTACATGCCCTTGACC